TTTGATTGCGTTGAAACTTATCTTCATTTGACTACTTGGTCACCGGAGGTGTACTGTTAAATGTAGCTTCCATTGTCATGGATTCGTCTTGGCCAGATGCCCAATTTCACCATCGTGTCACATTTAATGGCGTTCCCTCACCTCCAGCTCTCCAATCTCTATTTATGGCACTGACGCTAGCATTTTTTCCTGTGTGGAGGGGTAAATTTGGGATTAGAGATGAAATACATATAATACTTGGTGATTTTTGGGCGGGCCACATTTTCGGTTGTTTTTAATGCTTAAACAACATGAGAGAGAAGATGTGGGTAGACCACACGAGGCTCTTATTTTTGAAGCCTTAACACAAATTTCTCAAGAGACAAACACTGCCACATAAATACATAACAAAGCTAAGAACAGTAATGTACAAGTTAAGGCTTAGAAAATGTCTTTTATATGTATCAGAATCTTACTTCAAAGAAAAAAAAAGTATCAGAATCATGCAGGCCATACTGTATATGTTTTGACGGTAAGCTCTGTATTCAAATAAGAAAACCAGATTTCTTTCTCTTCTCTCTTCATTTGTTCTCGATAACTTTAGGTACAAACAAGAACAACATTATGAGGTTCTACTCGAGATATAAGATGAAACCTCTTTTAAACTTTTATGACATGTATAACCAACATTCATATATCACTATCCTCTGAAAAAAAATAATACAATATTTTGTCCTTTCAGAAAGGATTGCGATCAGTTGATGAATAATGATGATAATAGTAATAGCTCTTGTATACGTGTATGAGAATTATCTTGAGAAGAACCCCTCTTTGGTTTCCTTTACTTAATGGTCAAAAAGTTTGATATCTCCATTTCCATCTATTCTTGATTATTTTCATACGAAACCAAGCACAACCTTATGAGCTCCTCCTCAGGTATGCCATCACGCCGAGTCCCGCAACTAGAGCAGCACCAGCTGCAATTGTGCTATATGCCGATGCCCATGCATCTCTACTTGTAAACGCTGTTGCTCCTGGCCCACCCCTGTTCTTATGTTTTCTGCTTGTACCTGAATAATCTAGATACAGCCTCAAACCCTGCCAAAGAAAAAAAATTGAAGAAATCAACTAAAGATTCAGGTAAGGTAACAAAATTATGTACAAATGTGAAGAATGTAGATAAGATTCTCCCAAAGCTACACTTAAATTATTCACTTTTTGAGAGATTCAGCAGTGCACATTTACCATTTATGAAGTTGCATTACTGTTATAGGCTGAAAAACAGTTAAAGAATTTAAATATAGAAGTACTCGTGAAAACAGTTTGTCGAGGCAAATGTATGCTTGCAAGATTAATATACAGATGTGAAAAGAGAATACCAGCTAAAGTCGATCCTGATTCTAAAAAAGTGAAAGCGAAAATGCCATCAAGTCCAAAGAAGAAATTGGGTATGTTTATCTCATGAACCAACTCAAAAGTAGCTGGACGATAGATTACCCAACATGCAACTGTCAAGGTAGTCTGATTCAAAGAAGGTGAAACTGAGCTAAAGTCTAGTAAGAACATCTGGCCAATTTATCTCTGAAACCAACTAAAAGGAGAAAGAGTGAGCTTTATGAACCCATTTAGAAGAGCACATAAGGGCGCAAAAATCCATTTGTATTCTAGTCAGCATCTATCCTTCAATGTTGATTAAGCCCAATTTATTTTCCTATTCAATGAGTTAATAAGAGCTAAGATGTTCACGCTTTAATATTCCTTGGATGACATTTTATTAATATTTTGAACATAATTTGGTACTTCTATGAGAGATAGTGATGAAGAAGAGTGGGAGTATTACCGTCCACCCAACAACTCTGGCATGTTCCACAGCAGCCGCAAGGTCACTATCCGATGCAAGGACAACTTTGTCGCGATCCTCGTCTTCGTACTGCAAAGAATTTTTCCAGAGGAAAGACATTCAGGTAATAGAAGGAAATAGCAGTCATTCGACAAGGATCATCTTCTATCCTATGATTTGAAGTTTACCAGGATTTGAGGTAGATGATTCTTGTCGATGTCATCACCCACCCTTTGAAGAATGCTAGTGATGAGCTCTGTCAAGGTACGTGTATCTGAAATTGGGCACATATAGTATTGAAATAATCTAAATGCAAAAACTTTTAACAGCTAAATATAACGAACTTGTTATTTGTAAATATCTTTACTTTGTGCTACATGAGTATTAAAATGTTGCATATCAATAACTAAAAGACAACATAATTTGGATGCCGACAGAGACTGCATGTGTACATAATATGACAAAGGGTAAAATCAGAAAGATAACCTACCACAATAAAATCTGTGCATCCGACCCCTTTTGTCTTCGAGCTTGAAGGCAAAAGTGGGAGCTAAGCCTGATCGGGGATAGGCGGGAGAACATAATATGTCTGTTCCATCTGATGCGAGTTTCATGGATGCTTCACTGAAAAGGTTACAACTTCCAACGGTAAGCATAAAGAATATTTGCATTCTTACAGAAACTATATAATGCATTCAAAAGATGGAACCTCTTTGTCTCTTCATCCTCTTCAATAGGTCCGATTGCCATTGCAGAATCCCAGAACTTCTGCATCATGGACACTGTTGACTCGTTCCCTAGTCCTCCACTGTTTTCAACCTAACCGAGAGAAAGTAATATAATGACTTACTTACCTTGATATTAATAGGAGATTCTAATTGATAAGTACAACAAAAGACACACTAGAGTAATTCATACATGTCATAAGAACCATCTTACTTGATAATCAAGACCTACATCAAATTCATGAGGCAATAGGGTATTCCTAACACTTACAGTTCAAGATTCCTCTACCATTGAAATATTTAACTAATGCTAATAAGCTGAATGGTGAGAAAAAAAAATTTAGAATTAACAGAAAAGAACCACATCAAGTAGATAAAATGACAATTTCCATCTACAGTAGTGATAAAATCCTACTTACAAGCATCTTATTCCAGTATTCCAGGATAACAGACAATCTTAAAGGAAAATTGGTCTTTAGAAGGGTGTCTTTCTGTCAGACCCTTCTACAGTTTTATCATATTACATTTCCCAGTAAAAAACAGAATTGGGCATGTAAACTCCTTTTGGATTCAATATTCAGAAGTACTTAGTTGGTGTCTAAGAGAGGCTGCTCGAGGAGATTCCCGATTGAAGAGAATTTACTACTTGTGGGCAAAGCACACTGATGTTTGTTTTACTTACCTTTGAGGTGTAGGCCTTATTTAGATAAGATGGCTTATTCAACACTGGACATTAGGTGTTTCTTTGGCATGTTTTATTCTCTTTGGGTTATATGGAAGAAAAAGATAAGCCAATAGAAATATAGAGAGCAATGGAAATATAGATTAAATGATTGAAGTATCATCTATAGATAGAGTCAGGAAGTAAACCTAAAGTGACGAACTAAAATGTAAAAATGTGGTTAAGACCTAATAGCTTAAGATTTTTGACTAAGAATGATTTTGACCATTATTACGCTCTATTCTGCTCCTCTCGAAGGGGAAACTTTCTGAAAACCATTGTATCAGGCCCAATGTTCAAGGAAATATATTTAAACATCTGATAAACCACAATAAATGATGGGAATTTGTCCTCAAAGATTGAAGTCTCATGCAAAAAACTTAGCCATAGATGAGCGGATAATTAAAGGGATAAGGATAATGGTTGAGGATGATCATTGTGCCAAGGACCAATTACCCACATATGATAAGGAAGATATCAATGCATGAACGCAGTCCCACTACGATAGTTAAATAAAAGGTGATAGACTAGATTGTTGGGACAATACTTAAAAGCTTTTGGGTCAATCGTGAAAATGGTTATGATGGTATACGAGATATTAGCCCCGGTCACGCATTGCGATCTCTTTTGTTTATGGTAGAGTTGTAGAGAGGTCTCGCTGTTTGCTATCATTCTCCTTCCAGGTTTCCCAGTGAACATATCTCTTCCACTTTGTGGTTGATGTATTCGAGGAAATCTATCATGCAATTTAAAGTGGAAACCCACTCTGTACATCTAGGAGAGTATCCAATCTCAACCTTATTCTCCATTATGGTGGTCCTTCATAAACATTGCACCCATCAATTATTGGTACATTCAATGTTACATTAAACGTTGGATGCTTTTAGGCGTCGGACTTGGCCCCCAACGCTTAGTCGGCAATTAGTTGCCTAGGCGGACGCCTAAGCGGTTTCTAGACGTTTTTTTCTTTTTTCTTTTTTTAATTATGATACTTGAAGAAAAAAAATATATATACTCAATCAAAGATGCATAAATACTAAAATACCAATACTATTAACTAAATTGTTTGGTTTATCAATTACAATAGCTTTTTGTATGTTTATACTTCTCAACTCAAATTATAAGTTCATCTCAACAGTGAAAAACCCATTCTCAACTCAAATTACTGTTAACTTATACGTTACTGTTAAGTTTAAATTAACAATAAACTTAAACTTAAGTTTACTGTTAACTAAAATATTGTTAACTTAAGTTTACTATTTACTTAAACTTAAGTTTACCATCAACAAAAAACTTAATATTAACTTAAACTTAAACTTAAACTTAAGTTTACTGTTACCTTAAACTTAAGTTTAACTTAAACTTAAACTTAAACTTAAGTTTATTGTTAACTTACACTTCTTAAGTTTAAGTTACTGTTGTTAACTAACTTAAATAGATATTTAAGAAGTACTCTTTACCTTGTTAGTAGTTACAGAGATAGGGGGAGCTTGATAATTACAGAAGGTGCTAGGCAGACTAGTCGTTTGAGCGAGCGCCTAGCGTCTAGACCCCTGGACGTACGCCTAGGCAGCGCCTAGGTGTTTGACTATTTTTGAATTATTTAATTATAATAATTAATAAAAATATGTATTAAATTCATATAAATTTTTTAAAAAAGATAACAATCTTAGTTCCATAATAAATCATGCATACTTAGATATTAAATAGCCAAAATAATAATTAACAAGACTAGAGCCTAAGATGTTTTCTTTTTTATTTTTAATTATAATAATTGATAGTGAATGTCGATGTTATAGAAAGCTTTGATGCCGGGCTGATGTCTAGGCGGATTTCTTTCTTCATTTAAGTGACGGTCGATGAGGTTTTGCTGAACGTCGGAGGAGGTAGTGGTGGTATTCATATTTGGAGGTTAATGGAGTTTGGAGGACGTGTAGGCTACAACACATAAAACCATAACCAAGGCCTATATGGTGCAATCCATGTAAGTAGACAATGCTTCCCTAAACGATCGTAAAATCTAGGTGGGCAGCTTAAATACCGCCTAGGCGCTAGTTAGGCGGCCTAGGTATCGCTTAGACCTAGGCGTACGTCTAAGCGGACTAGGCGGAGGTTTTTTAAAACAGTGGGTACATTCCCTTCGCATTGTTATTCTAATAGAACTCAGGGGAAAAAAAAGGAAATTCCATCAATACTTATTATCACAATGTTAAACAGAAACCACATCTATTAAACTTTCTTATCAAGATACTCGATATATGGCGTTCATTCACCCCTCTCATACCTATTAAACTTTCTTAAAAGATATTTGACGGTAAAATCACATCCCTAGTCCAACCTACTTACCTCCTGAAATAGCCTATAAGATTTTCCACTAATATTTTGGATCTAATATCTTTTAACGATAGTAATTATGTGTTGTCTATAATTCTGGTTCTTTTAAGTGCAGTTTTGCAATAACGTAATCATCTACAAGTTATAGATAATCTAATATTACCTCTTACTTCATATCTTTTGTCATTACTCATTATAATTCCCATTTTATTGATACATCTTTAATTTATCTCATGTCACCTAACTTGTAGATCTCATGCTCTCCTAGTTGCCTAGTCTGTCAAATAGACTACAGGAATTGGCAATTTCACACATAAGAATATCTCCTGCTTCTCTAACGTATCCAGTTTTCTTTCTCCATAAATCACAAAATTTGAAATATATCAGAAACTCATTGACGAGCCAAAAAGATGCAAGATCAAGGATGAGGTTTTGAAGGAAAAAACAAGTGCAACTAGTAGGTCTCACACAGTGACATATCACTTGTGGAAGCATTAGTCCCTCTGCCAAGAGAAATTGACAGCAATACTATCAAAAGGTTTTGTGGAAAAAATATCAAACCTTTCTTTCAATTGCATAAGAGAGCCAACGCACAGGCTGAGGTTCTCGATACTTGACAATTTCAATAAGTCCATGCATTAATATAATGTTAAACCCCTTCTTTTAAGTTGTTTGTGGAGCCATAAAGCTCTGCTGAGGTTGCAATTTCATCAGTAGTTTTCTTTTCACTTTCTGTAGAAGAGACTCCCTCATGTTTTATATGTGTTCTACATGTTGTGCTTATCATCCTATGGAAATGAGTATAGCAAGTCTGGCTTGATACATCTGTGTGACACATTGCCAAATTGGAAATGTGTATAGAAAATCTGGCTTGATACATCCGTGTGACACATTGCCCAAGTTTCTGTAGATTTAAAGTTCTGTCTTAAATATGACCGTACCTGCTTTTATGCTGAATAACATTATTTTAACTATATGCTATTTTAGCGTCCAGAAAAAGAGTCATGCATTAGTTGCGACTAGCAGGAATATCGGTTAAGAAATGCCAAAGAATGATCAAATAATTTGTCATACTATGAAGAAAATTCCAATTTAAGAAATCAATTTAGTGGTATACAGTATGCAACTACAGAAAAGCAGACATGCAACTGAATGCAGAAAGAAGAACAAGCCAGCAACACGGCCAAATATAACGATAAAGGTCGCTTACTGTGGCTACTGCAGCATTAGTAGAACAAGCCAGCAACACGGCCAAATATAACGATAAAGGTCGCTTACTGTGGCTACTGCAGCATTAGTAACATGAATTACATCAATAATTGAGACAACTTGCCCATCTGTTGCACCCAAAAAAAAAAAAAAACACTTCTTTAGAGGTAATCAGAAGAGCAGGAATAACAACTAATTTAAGCGTTGGGTCACACTCAGAGTTACCTCTGTCCAAAACAGGAAGATGTAAGAACCTTCCATTATGCATGATGTGAAGAGCATCAAGGATTGGTGTATCAATTGTTCCACATTCAGGGTTTTGAGTCATGACCTGGGTATGATATTTCCATACTAGGAATTTCAGCAAGTATAGTATCAGTTCATCAAAGGGAATTGAATAAAACTGCTCTGAAATTATTTCTGCAAACTATATGGAATGACAGTGGAACCTAATAGAGCATATAGTAAAATCCCCCTACTTCGTTTATTTCCAAAGACCAAGTTCTTTAGCCTAATTTAAGCATTGGTGAGTAATGGGTAACATTCACAAGTTTTAGACTTCACGACAGAATCATGTAATTTTTATTTTGGAAAATTAAGTACCAAGAACTAGTCAGCAAATAAGTGTTAATATTATATTGCAATGCCCAGTTTTGCATTTAGTTCTACATGGTGGAATGTCACAAAGGCCATGGACCCAAGAATCAAAGAACTAACCCATCATTCATCATCCATAATACAACACTCAAATCATTCCCATATAAATTATGTTCATCATTAACTATCACTCAAAATTGAAAAGCTCACAGAAGAAATAAAAATGTTATTTTAGCTGGACAATTTCAAGTGGATGAGGCCAAATCCCTAGAAAAAGCAAGTACGAGGGAAACCTAGAACATCAGTTGGATGGTAGTGTGGGTTACAATTGTTAGGTCTCATGTTTATGAGCATACTATCTAATCTAGTTTTGATGATTAACAAACAATTCCTGACATCGTTTGTCGAGTGTTTGTGTTTGCTTGTTAGGTATTCTAAACAAAGATCCTCCGTTGGAGGTTGGTTAGTTTGCGCGTTCACGATGATATCCAAAGTCATTATCGCTTCATCCACAACTAAGATGAGCTACATTGAAGACCTATTGCTTGGGTATAGTGTTTTATGTCTATACTTTGTGTGTTTATACTTAAAGCTCAAACTACACACATACACGTTTCGTTTTATCGTATTATACATTTTTGGGAAAATAACGTATTTACGGATTAAAGACTTGATTACACTATTTTATATCTTTTCTCAAGTCTATTAATTTATTTTAAAGTGTTTCAAAACTTGTTTGAAGAAATTTCATCAAAATCAAGTTTTAACGTTTTAACATTTTTGAACAGCTTGCAAAATAAATGAGTTTTTCACAAATGAGAAATGAAATTTGAGAAATTATTTTTCTAACATGTTCTATTACATGTTTATAAACATTTTCCAAAATTTTATCATTTTTGGAGTTGATTTACTATGTTAAATTGATTTTACAAAATCAAGTGTTCAGCAGTTTTCAGAATCTGGAATATCTGTTTTCAAACAGTAATTTCTCACAAATCAAAAGTGATATTTCAGAAATTCTTTCTCTAACATGTTTATCTACATGTGTAGAAACTTTTCTCAAAAGTATGATTTTTAGAGCTGATTTGTTATTTTTAATTGATTTTAGAAAGTCAGCTACATAAAATTTCAGGATTTGCCAATTCAGCCCAACGGTCACCTTATCGGTCGACCGATGACGTTATCAGTCGATTGATCAGGATTTTCTAGCCAACGGCTAGTTTTTGGCTGCTGTGGTTTTGGGGCTATATATACCCCTCTTGCCTTGGTTCTTTTTAAGGTTTTTTAGAAGGTATTTACAAGTGTTTTGGGCAGTTTATTTTTAAGTTTAAAAGATCAAAAGTTTAGTTTGTTTATGTGAAGAAGCTTTCACAAAGAAAAAAAGCTTTCAATTTCGGTTTTGAGGAGTTCAACCTCAATTCTTATCTACATCTCTTAGTGCCATTTTATAGAAGTTTTTCTAACTTTTTAATGTAGCTTATTCTCCTTTTGATTATCATATATATATATTTTCTAGATTAAGTTGAGTTTAATTTTTGATATTCTCATTATTTACACACACACCGCTTGAGCTTTAGTATTTCACATATTGTATACATATGGGTTGTGGGGTTTTTTCCTTGAATGAGCTTAAACTTCCTTCTCATCCTTGTTTAGAGAACAAATCATTTACTTGCACTTAATTGTTGAGAGAACACGTTGTAGTATACAAGGACACTAAGGGGGTGTTTGGTTCAATTTCTAAAAATTATAGGAAATGTTTTCCATCTAAAATATGATTTCCTTGTATTTCTTAAAAAAATTATAGGAAAATTTTTGAGAAGTTAAAAAGTAACAATTTTCTTATTTTTTATACTTTGCTTGGTTGATTCAAAACAAAAAAAAATGGCTCATAACTTTATAGAAAATGGGTATGGGACGGGTTTTGTTGATTAAATAAGGAAGGTGTCAGATTTCCTATTGATTTCCTCTCATTTTGAGAGGAAATTGCTTTTTATAAAATTTGGTGGTTTTTGATATTTTATAGAAAATATTTCTAGATATTTTATAGAAAATATTTCTATAAATTTTTTGTTGAACCAAACACAATTTACAGAAATCTATAAAAAACTTTTAATTACAAAAAAATTACCATTATCAGATATTTTGAGAGAAGTTTTCTCGAAAAGTGTGCAACCAAACAGCCCCTAAGAGAAGTTGTTGGTGAGAGGCGGGATCAATTCCAAGAGGAGTGGCGTCGGTTGTAAATCCTAGGGAGATGTTGTATTCCGAGCACTTGAGGAACGTGACACGGGCTAGGTCAATACTTAGAAGAGTGTATTGTGTGATTGCATCGTGTGAGTTATAAAAGTTTTCGGTGAACTTGGAAAACCGAGCGTGTAGTTATTTTGGTGATTAGTGAAGATTCTCCTCGAGGGTGAGGAGCGGAGACGTAGGTCGAGGGTGACCGAACTCCGTGATCATTTACTTGTGTTTGTGTTTGGCGCACTCATTCTCTTGTATATTTTCTTATCGCCTTTTGTCTCATATTTATATCGCCATTAGTTTAATTCTATATCCTTGCATATATCTCATTATACATCTCATTGCTAGGATATTAGTTAATAAGCTTTTAATTTGGCATCGAAATCAGATTAGATTAGCAAATATCCTATTCACCCCCTTCTAGGATAATTTCAACAATGTTGATAATGATGTTTAAGTTCATGCAAAATGGAGTATTGTTAAAAACTAGTTACAGAAATAAAACTAGTAGACAACTATTGACAATTCAAATCCAGAAATTCATACTTCTCATATCTATGACAATGCAAAATATCTAGATGAAAAAATTGATCATAAAATTTACTCACATTTTCAGTTACTAGTAATATTGAAAATAAATGCTCTAGTCAATGTGCACCTTCCTATGGCTCAATTCAATAGTTAGTATCATGAACAACAAAAAAATGTTCATCTACATGACACTTATTTTTGGCAATGTTGCCTAGTCTCTGTGTCAGATCAATTATATTAATATTTCAAAGGAGGCAATATTAGAAAGACAAAAAAAAAAAAAACCGCGTCCTTCCCTCACGAAGAAATGTTAAGGAATACAACTATAGCATTCACTAAACAAAAAGAACTAATTACCAAACTTGGCAATTGAATTATCATTACAAGTCTTCATTAAGTCCCATGGCCATATCTTTGATGATGTTCATTCTGAAAATCTTATATGTTTATTTCCTTAAGTTGGTTGGAACAAGTAGAAGCATGAGTTTTCTGTTGATCAGAGATTCAGACGCAATATGCAGTGTATCTAAAGGACCAAGATGGATCAATTATATGTTGTGAAGATTACAACTTCAATCATTGAAATTGCAGTAATTTGTAAAAACCTCATTAGAAGGTTTTGTTTAGGTCATGGGTACACATGACAATGAAAGGTTTGTAGATGACAAGAACATAAACATTGAACCCAACATCTTTTGCTTCGATAAAGCTTCCTTTATTGAGTGCTAATCCTCGTGGAGTGGCTAATGCTATTAGATTCCCAAGACTTCGTAGTACGTAATATTTTTTATAAAATAATTTTTAAGCTTCTTAAATCTTACAGTTCAGAAGAGGGTCTATCTAGTTTAAGGGGCTGTTTGTTTGCCCAAAAAAAAGAGAAAACCCCCCGTCACATCGCATTTCAAGAAATCCCCCTTGCCACGTAGGATTTTGGTTTCAACCGATTTCCAAATCACATGTTTGTTTCGTTTTGTGATTTAAAGAAATGATGGTGCCACGTAGGATGTCACGTCAGATTTTTAAGAAATGTGTTTTCACACTAAAGACCTCTGAAAACACTTAAAAATGTCACTTCTATGAATTTTTAATTGCTAAAAGCACTGTTGGAACAGTCCATGTGAATAAAACAGATTATTTAAATGCTGAAAACACGTTACTATTGCGACTGATTTCCCTTTTCCTTTTTTTGTTCAAACAAACACAAGAAATGGAAAACTAAAAGCACTGTTACTATGACGACTTTTTTTGTTTTTTGTGTGACTTGGCAATGAAATGTGGTGATTTTTTTACGAAACAAAAAAAAGAAAACAAAGAAAAGAAAAGTGAGAAATGTCATGAAAGCTATTGAAATCATTTGAAAACTGAGTTTTCCATTTCCATTTTTTTCTGGAAAACAACCAAACAGACCCTTAAAAGGAAAGCAACTGAGACTCGAGGGATTTGGATAAATCAGGGATGATTGGTTAATCCACGAAATGCCTTGGCCCTGTTTTCCTTTGTTGATAATAGTGTATTGTAGTGGGTTTTAGTTCCACATTGCTTGGGAGAATAAACCTCTTACTCCTCTACTTGTATAAATATATGTGCATACTCAATATTCAATTCAAGGAAAATTTACTCAAGATTCCCTCTCTCTTACTTTAACATGGTATCAGAGCTAAGCCTATTTCCCTTCTAATAAATTTTTTTAATGCTTCTGCGTTCTTTTGCCAAATCTTGGCCTTATTGCTTTGCAGCCGTTTAATGTTTTTTTTCTGCCAGATATTTTGGCCTTGTCGCTTTGCGGCCTCTTAATGCGTTTCGCGTTCTCGTTTAAACATTCGGGTTTTTATTCTAACCTTCGGGTTCTATTTTAACGGCATTACCGTTTCAAGACCGTCTCTCGGTCTCAAATTAACAGCATCGTCGTTTCAAGCCGTCTCTCGGCCTCAAACGAACGGCATTGCCATTTCGCAGTCA